GGGGGGGAGGAGATTTGTGTGTTTCTTATGGTTTTATTTATGGTCAGGCGCTCCGGCTGTTGCTTGTCGTGGTGTGCATGCATATGTGCGCGAGTGAACGGTCGTGTGCGCGTGTGCGCGCGTGTGTGTGTGTGTGTGTGTGTGTGTGTGTGTGTGTGTGTGTGTGTGTGTGGCTCTTTGCAGTAACACAGTAAAAAAATTGTCTCTTAGTCTGTGACTGGTTGGCCACCCCTGCTCTAAATTGTCCCAAGGTGTGTGTGTGAGCACGGTTGGTTGTTCGTCTCTGTGTGCCTTACGATTGGCAGGCAACCGGGTAAAGGTGTCCCCTGCCTATTTCCCGAAGCCGGCTGGGATCGGCTCCAGTACCCCCGTGACCCTTGTGAGGATAAAGCGGATCGGAAAATAGATGGATGGCTGGTTTTGAACAGAATATTCAAAACAAAAAGGCGTTTTTTTGGTGTGATGATATAAGTGAACAAACATTTTACGTACTGAATGTCTGGTGTTATGCCCTCCAGCAGAACAATGTTCACCCCTCCAATATGAGCTGATGCACAGGTCTCAGTCATTTTCTGATGTAGGATATCTGAAAGACATAAAAGGTTCGAAGTAATCAAACAGGTCAGGGAAAAAAAGTGCATGCGACCAGCAAAAAGTTGAGAATTGATTTTTTTTTCTCCCCACATCAATACAGTACGTACAAAACATACCAATCTTTTTACACTGAATGTGCAGGTACCAAACTTCAGAATGGTTAAATGCCAACATTCATATTCTGAATAAATATGATCATTTGCATTATGTTACTGGGCATGCATTTCTTGACAATGTTGTGTTTTGTATTGTCTACTGTTTGAGACTACTTTCATTTTAATCCTTAATTGTCTGATTCATGATTGTATTTGGAGTGCAACTAATGTCTGCCAGTATCTTCCAAAACAATATAATGGGATTTTCTTTTGCCAGAGATCTGGAGGGGGCAGGGGGGGGGGACTTTTATTTTAATCCATAGAATCACCTTTCATCTTCTCCTTGAGGGTAAAACTTCCATGTATCTTCTTCAGTTCTGCCTCCATGGTGAGTCCACCAATGTCGGCCTCCAGGTGGGTGCGGTTCACCATACCGATGCCAAACACTATGAGGGTGACGTGCTGGGGATCAGAGCTCACCAGGCTACGCCGCCGGCAGCCTGCAGGATGGGTTCTGGGCGGCGTGGGTTCCTGCTGTTCATTCTCAAAGATCACATTACAGAGCGGCTCTGATGGCCGACGCCCACCCTCTGTGGAATAGAGGAGAGGTCGAAAACTAGTCATCTATCCACAATCACATTTGTAGTACAAAGGGCATGTTTCAGTTGTACTGTATCATACAAGTTGATTGACAAAAACAGCCAGGTTCTGGTGATACTGATATCGTTTAAGACTGGTTGAATCGAGTAAAGCTCTAACATGCGCAGACATGACGACATATAATCTCATTTTTCTGTAACGCCATGGATACTGTATGTCATATGATACAGCATTGTTTGTTTCTTGCGCTACTTAAGATGCATGAAACGCAATATGCAGTGGAAAAATTGTCGGACGACAATCACACTAAATAAGATACAGAGGTATACAACTTAGTCATAAAAAAACTTATTTATCTGGTATAATATTGAAGATATACTTCAGACTAAATCTGACAAGGTGAAAACATATATGATGATGGCCAATTCCCACCTGGCAAGCAGTTCTCCGCAGAAGCTTTCTCCAAGATGCCTGTGGGATCTGAGATAAGCGAGTAGAAGTTGAGCAGCTTGTACATGTTCTGCCAACATTCTGCTGACGGCTCGCTCTGCTCTGACACTGTGATAGAGTCAGAGTCATCCATCTGGATTGCTGTGTGGTCCGCCACATCACGGGAACCTTTTCTTGACACCTAAATAGTTCCACAAGAGTAAATGTATTGAGATTTCACATTTTTGCAGCTGCAAAACAAAAACTTTGCCTGGCCTTGTTATTTGTTTTTAATTATTAAATTGCAACATAATCCATTGAAATACAGTAAATGTTGAATGTTTTTTTTCCTAAACCTCTGATGACACTGGATCAATTAGGACATTGTGAAATGATGTGCGCATAGTCTAACGCTTTCCTGATCTACCAGGTCCCCCTTGTGTTTGTGGGTGTCGACTCCAGTTCACAAACTGGCATGCTCTGACAGAAATGTAAAAAGTTCAGCACAATTTCAGACATCGATGCTGGTACTGAATGACATCATAATGATTTACGCATTTGTTTTAAATTTATAAAATCATACAAAATATTAAATAATCACAAATCACATCATAAGCAAATCTAATTGGTCATTAGAGTCCAAATCTTCTCAGCCAATCACAAGTATTGAGACTACATGCGTGTAAAACCGAGTTGCTCATTCCTCTCCGGACTGATTGGTAAGAGCAGAACATATGTCAACTGTCCATAACAAAATATGGAAAAATTGGAACACTTGAAATCTCATTTTGATGACTGATTCTGTCTTTCCAAAGCTCATTCAAGTTTAACAAAGCGTTACCTTCGAGGTGCGACGCTCTGAACGTCCAAGCGAACCACGTCCTCTGTGCTCCCTTCTTCCTAGCGTGTCCATGGCTGATGGTGGTCCATTGAGTGGCAAACCCCCAATAACTCCTACACCTCCACCACCCAAACCTCTCTTGCTCTTCAGAGTTTGTGTGGCACAGCGTGCTGTTCCATTGATGCTGCCACGTGAGCTCCGGCTAAAGTCAGATGACCTGAAGTGGCGGTATGGCCGCGCCTTGAAGGTTGGTGTTGGTGAAGCAGAGCCTGCAGTATAACGGTTTAGCTTGATGTCTGTTTGAGTGGCTTTAATGTCATCAATCATGGTGCTGAACTGGTGAATAAGGCGCACGAGTGCCATGTCGACACGTTGGCTAATGGCCTGGCAGGCTGTTGTGAAGTCGCAGTGGAATGTGTTGTAGTGGCGGCGGTTGAGGTCGTGGAAGGACAGTGGGACTGTAGTGGAGCCTTGTGGCGCACTGGTTGACTTCTCCATTACGACTGCATTCAAGCTGAAAGTCTCAATCAGAAGAGCTGGTTTGAAATCAAGTGGCGGCAGGTTCACCATGCCTTGTCTAGAGGTAGGAAGAATTGAGATAAAGTTTTGTATTTATGTCAAACATGTTGCACACTTCTGCCTGGATGTTGCTGTGGTTATAAAGATAGATACAGTGGAACCTCGGTTCCACAAACTTCACGGGCGCTCAACCCTAGTCGCAACACCTCACTGCAAGCCACCAGAATCGCAATACTTTCCAGGGCTTCTTAATACCATAATCACTTGAACTTGCATCAGCTTTCTTGGGAGCCATTCTGAGGGCTAAATAGTAGCAAAAAAAAAAAAAACAAACCAAAAAAAAATAACTATATGTATTTGTATGTGAAATATGTAGGCATGGTGCGAACAACATTTACGCTGTGTGAGCAAAAGCCCAACTTTTTGTTGTGCATGTTGTGACAGTTTACCAACTGATGCAGTCATTTAATTTACGCAGTATTTGTCCGAATTTTTGTTCAAAAAGTGATTTATTCGTGAACAGGGGGCACAAGTGAACCGAGGTTCCACTGCACGACTTTTATTATTGCAATTTTTATCACCAACAGTAAATAAGTTGTACTTCACCTTCTAGATCTTTTGGTTTTGCGCTCTTTGGAGGTGTCGGAGTCAACAATGTCTGCTCTCAGACACTCCAAGTTGCCAGAAAAAGACAAATGTTCTCCAAAATACATCTTGTAGCTCAGAGGGGTGGTGTCTTGGGCTTGGATGCCAGTATAGTTCAGTAACGGCTTGAAAACAACCTAAGACATAAAATTGACACCAAAACAACCAAACATTTATTACATTAAATTATGTTAAAATGTTAATCATATTTTAAACATTTCAGACACATGGAAACAATAATCTTTCGTCAACAGAAGGGGCTCTCTTAATAAAAGAAAAACCCACAAATAACAAAAATTAACTGCTAAAAGTAATAAGAAAAAAGTAATAAGAAAGTTAACTAATGAAAAGCGAATATTACATTTGAATTTTAGTTGAAAATAATAAACATTAAAAAAAAAAACAACAAATAATAATAATGAAAAAGGCCAAGACAAAAATGAAGTTACCCTAAAATTAACTTTTTGAGTGCATTTTCCAGATAGCATTTTTCAGGTGCTCAACCAGACTTAGATCAGGGATCACAAATGACCACGACAGAATACAGTCAACACCCACATACTGGGGTTCTGCACACCGAGATTCCAATATTTGAGGATTTCCTACCTCCCCAACCTTCACTGTCACTTCCCTTCGCCAACACCCCCTCCCACAGGTGAAAGTTTTCCAGATCTGTTGTTTTTTCTGGAACAGGAATCTAGTTTGGCAGTTGCTTCCCCCCAACGCCAAACCCCCTTCTCGTAACTCATTTTATTTCCATTTCTTATCCAAGAAACCGGGTTGCAGCGTGGCAACCCATCATCCCACCTGTTAGCTGTCAATTTGTTTCGTGTTTCTTGGACAGGTTGAAACTGTAAAATGACTGATTGCTCTGTACTTGAGACATGAGCAATGACAATAAAATTCGACTTCGATCCCAGCAGACTTGGGGCGAGAGGTGGGGTTCAATTTGTTCCGTTAATCCATAATTCTAAAGCAATGTCTGAATTTTGAGGGGGGGCGGGGGGGGGTCATTGTTTTTTTCTTTTATTAACTATTTTATCCACGTCTGCATACAGTGAAACTCCTCTACAACGGACACACACACACACACACACACACACACACACAAACGTATGTGTACACGCACACACAAACGTATGTGTACTCTATTTTTATTGCAATAGTATGCAATAAAAGTATCAAATAAGTATGAGCACACACTTATTTGACACTTCATATTGTCAGTGTAGAAAGAAAAAAACGGGAAAGAAATTGTGAAATTTACGATCAGCATTCACTTTCACTTACATCAATTTCTTGGATAATGTCTTTTATTTTGCTTCCTCCGTCTTTCATTTTGATCACTTTTCCCCTCTCTTCCAGCATTAGAGCTCCTTCTTGTCTTAGCTGCTTGACATCCAAAGGTCCGTTTTGTAGCCATTTTAGCAATGCAACGTTCATGCTGCGTCTGAATCTTACAATAACAAATACTTCCTGGACCTGGTGGCTTTTCTTTCAAACATCTCACTGTCTCTAACTCGACCGCCCCTCGATCGCCGCCCAAGACAGTGTTGCTCAGCTGATGTCATGCAATGAACTTTTAAAGCCAGCCACGGGACGCTTCGTAGTCCTCGATGGCCATAGTTAGCGCGATGGAACTCGCCTTCTCTCTAATTAGCGCTCCAGTTAGCGTAAGGTTTTTAGCATGATAACAAGTAAAGCATTCCAGGAAACGTTCATTTATTTGACTGTCCGTCGAGCCACAAGCAATTTACTCTGAGCAGCTAATCGGATTCTTGCTAAGCCAATGGCAGAGCAGCTATGAGTATGTTGCATTCAGCAAACTCGCAGCTGTGACCGAAATAAACATCGTTCTCTATGTAAACCAGTGTGGTGGTTGCTGTTGCCGTTTCCGAACGAAGCAGTAGAGGTCGCTGTTGGATTAGACTTCGTTGTAGTCAATGTCTTCGTTTGGCAGGAGCAGAGAAAATGATTTCATATAACGCAACAGGGTTTTTTTTCGTCGTATGGGGGGCAGGAGAATGGGAATGGTGTTAATGCATGAAGATTTTTTCACATTAGGGGGTATTTTCGCCCATGTAGGTTTCATTCTAGAGGAGTTTCACTGTATGACTGAAGAGAGGAATAAAAAAAAAAAAAACATCATAAATGACCTGAGCATCAGCGAGTTGAACAGCAGCAGGACATAGGTTCCCCTCTTCAATATCAGCAATGTCATCCTGGCTAGTGCTATGCTGGGAATGCTGAGAGTGGGTCCCGTCCAAGGTGTTCTGGTCACTGGACAGCACTGTGTTGAAGTCCGACGCAGAGGGGATCGTCGGTAGGTTACATGTCCCACCTAAGTGTTGAAGACATTTACGGATTAGAACTAAACTAGAGTACGATTTTGGAGAAATAGAGCTGTAGATTAGCAATGAGGCATGAGCGGTAGAAGATGGATGGATGGTTTAGCAATGAGGGACTTACTCTGTCGTGTATAAATGGACAAAAAGCACATTCTGCATTACTCTTAAGTGCATTGTAAAATCATTTCCTTAAACCAAATGAATAGGGCCTGACCGATTCACTGGCCATCTGATTTTATCGTCCAGCTGATTTAGTTGGCCAATATTTGCCATTTTAAAATCAGACGATTTTATGCTGATTTCTGTCAACTATTTTTCAAACATATTAACATATTACAACATAAGACAAGGACAAGTAACACACAGGAAAGGTCAACCTAATGCAAAACACTAATGTTCTGCATGTAATTCACACCTATAAAAGAATCTCTAACACTGATTACACCCAAACGGTGTGTGCAATTCTTATACATTTTCCAAATAAAAGTCAAAATAAATACAAAAATCACCAGATAGATTAATCTGTCTTCACATTTGAACCTACATTTTCAAGCATAATGCCCGCATTCAAGATTCATATCAAATCATGTCTGAAAAAAGTGATCTTATCATAAAGCGAGCAAAAAATACATCTTGGCTAATTCTGAGGCGATGATGAGCAGCAAGCATAGATGACAGGGTACAATTACAAAACTTCAATCCTGCCTCACACAATCGTTTGCGGTGGTTATCCATTTCCAGGTTAAAAATATACAAGTCAGAAACAGGTTGTTGTGTTCCACATAAACATAACTCACCATTTATTTCCTCACAGGGCTAAACAGAGGAATACAATCTGTCTGTCCTTTTACAAACAGTATCTATAAAGGCTCATGGTTTTATCCCTCAGTAACATGATAACCATGAGCCATGGATTCTCAGACATGGTTTGTGCTGGTTTCTCCTGATTTACCAGCTCCAGACCAGCGATAAGGGCTTTGATGACCAGGTTACCACAGCCCTGGAAGACCTTGACTAAGGGTCTGTTATATTAAATCAATAAATTATTCACGTGACTTTGAAAAGCAGATCTGAGCTGCATGTGAACTAGACAGACTCTGACTACGCATTTGTTGAGTCCGTTTTCATTGTTGGTACTGCACTTTGAGATAATCAAGTCTCCTCCATAATATATCGTCAACAATGACGCCTGTTCAAAGGTTATCACACAGGGATACTAATATGAACTTCTAGATGACTTGTACAGGGATTTACCGTGAACTAATGTACCCAAGTCTCAAAAACACAACAAAGTCACCAATGTCATCAGCACAACACTGAGGGCAATCCCTAACCTCCTTCGGGACTGTTATCTCTTTGTAGTGGCTGGTATTGGAAGTGAATGCCTGGAGAATCCAATGGGTCGAGAGAAACTGAAACATTTACAGACAGTTTAACTGAATGATTGCTTGAAATGTTCAGGTATAATTGGTGTGCATTCCATTCAGAAACAAAAACACGCTATTTCACATTGAAAAAGCTGTCAAATTTGGGCTGTGAGCATGACATCTTACCTGTCTGGAGGCTATTGTGCTGCGAGCGGTTAACTGGGGAGTCCTGGACTACAGCCCCACTCCTATTCCCCACAGCATTGGACATCCAGTTGTAAAAGCTAACGGGAGATGGCTCGGATAGCAGTGGGTGCTCTGTCAGCACATCTGTCCCTGAAGCACATATACATATATACATAAATAAATAAACAATAGCATGTGAAACTGTGTTCAACGACTCAACAATTTACAATCAATTGGCATATGTATATAATAAAAGTGTCTCATTTTGATATCCGTGACAAAAGGGTCTCTGTGGTGAAAAATGATCAAGAACAATTTGGTTTATATAAAAAAATTGTGCACAACTATAACAACTATATCATATCGACCTAAGCAATTCCTAATATGCCACCTCGTGTACTCTTTATGCAAGTGTTAAGTATGGTTTTAACTTAATGCAAAAGGAAGAATATTAAGAACTTGCAAGCAGGTACCTGTACGAGTAAGGGAACCGCTCTTGGCTGCGGTGGCAAAAGATGGCTCATTCCTCTGTGGCGTTCCCTCCAGCAGGTTGTGCAGACTGCGAAAGCTTCCCGTTAAATTGCTCAGAAGACTCTCTTTTCTGGGGCTGTCCTTGACTGGCAGGCCTGCTCGGCTCACATGTGCTGGTGAGTCAGCAGCTGTGTCGCCGCTGGTGTAACTCAGAGACTGATACGGATGGGAGCCCTGAGCATGATAAATGTACATGTCAGGTTGATACTCAGCCCATACGCTCACTGGATTTGATTTACATCATGGGCCAGGTGGAGCAGGAGGGCCCTTGCTTTGAAAAGGGTCATTTGCTCACTGTTCCCATAAAATGGAGATAGAATGGTCCAAAACGTCTTCGTATGAGGGACATTAATGATTTAAGGGGAGATTGGATTCAATCCCAAAACTGGACTCCTTCATCAACAAACCAACTGCCCTAAGAGATTTCTGTTATTTGTGTTGAGAATGTATTAACGGTACAGACCAAACATGTTCATCTCTAAAGGGATTGAAAAATGTGTTTTGATAAGTAACAACAAATAAACAGCATATTTCCAAAACATAAATCTATTCTGATTATCTGGGAAAAATGACATTTACCAATATATCAAGATTTTGAGAACCATTCATTTTACCCTTGAAAAAATCCACTGGCTCAGTCTGCACATATAAGAAAAAATATATATTTTTTAAATTGTCCTTAAACAATGACAAAGGACGTCTGTGATTCATCAACATTTACCATGCCAGACATGCAGAACAGTAAATAAACGAACAATTAGCTCGACATCACGTGGTTGATTTTATTTTTATTTTTTTTACCTTTATTCGCAGTGCAGACTCGCTGTGTGTATGAGACTTGGAGAGTTTCCTCATGATCTCCACTCCACTGACAGGACCAGAGTTTCCCTCTTTTGGTGGTGGACGACTGCATGCTCCCTCCAGTAGCATGGTGTGTTCACTCACTGTGGCTTTGCAGGAAAGATATCAAATCAAACCCCAAACGAGTGACAGCAGCAAAACCTGAGTTAGCCCTCAAACTCACATGAGGTCAGAAGTTAATAACGGCAATCCGTTTTCTAGCAATAAGTGACCGCTTACAGTTTCAGCTGATTTTGATGATTAATGGTCTGGGGGGGAAAATATTACTGGCCTTTGGAATGATTTTTTTTTTTAAATGCAAAAAATGTTTATTGCAATTTAATTCTAAACACCACCCCCCACCTGCATCATATTCAAATTCAGCTCCATCTCCACTCGTGTCACTTTGCAGCGCTGCACCGTTGTCCAAGCCCAGGATTGTTTCAACCAGATTTTGCTGAGGTTCCTTCGGTTTAGTAAGCTGATTGGGCCTCATCAGACCAATGGCTTTGAAGCCCTGAGTAACCACAATGAATTTCATCCACTGTCGAGCCAAAGCCACAAGACCCTTTTTAAGAGTCACTAAGGCTGGGACTCCATCATTCTGCAATACAAAGGAAGAGGAAAAATATCGACACAAGAACTACATCATATGTTTGTTCGTACTAAAAAGGGCACCCCAAGAGAATTATAAAGTAATTGCAGTTACCTAACAGTAGTAAGAATAATAAGAATAAGAAAACCTTTATTCGTCTCACAATGGAGAAATTCCCAATTTACAGCAGTAAAGTTATGAAAGGAAGAAAGTAAAAGAACAAAAAGTATAGGAGCAGATGTAAAGATAGTCATATTTCTTATTGAAGTTGCACAAGAAAAGAAGTGCGTAAAACTTGTACTAACCATGGTAGCCTCCTCGATGACAGAATAGTCTGCCTGTTGCAGATAGCGGTGAAGAATGTTGCAAAGCATACATGAGGGATTCTCATGCAAGTAGTGTGCTCGCTTGGTCACGCGATTGTACTTGCTTCGGAATGGGATGTGGATGCTCTTTTTCTGCAAGATGGCAAAAATTAGTGGTTGAACGAAATGGCTGCAAACTTATTGGCTTTGAGCCAATGATTGAACTACTGACCTCCAGAGCCTCTGTCATAATGCAGCCCATGACGGCACAAACGCGAAGCGTGCCCTCCATGTCCAGTTTGCGAAGAGAAGATTTGAGCTGGTCGATGGGCACTAGCCAGGCTCCGATGGCTGGAGTGGCAGTGCTGAGCAGATTTAACTGCCTAGAAAAATGAAAGATGAGAATAATTTGTTTTGGTTTAATTTGGCACGTAACATTTGGCAAATTCATGTGATGACAATTCAGAAGGCATGATACCTTTGAAAAGTTTATTGGAAAAAAAACAAAAAGTCTGACCAGGGGTGAATTCCACATTTGCTCATCAGTATTCTTGACTGCACAAAAGTACATGTTCGAGTTTTCTGTCATCGTGGTTTAAAATCAAATTCTGTCCCAGACTGTGCCATCTTGTTACATCTTTCTTTATTATGCACGTTCAAACTGAGTAAAGACATTAAGAATGGCACCAAAGCAGTAACAGATGAAACTGTAATCATGAGTTTTCTCATACTGAACAGGTGTCTAATCAAACCCATTCAACAGTGTACGTCCAAAATGCTTAATGCGCAAATCATTTTTGCTGATACAGTACCTGATTTTTGGGGGCGTGGTTAACTATTACTTTAAGCCATGATTCAAACCAGAACAAATAAAGATCGCAAGCTGTTTTCAAATGGCAGACTCCGTGTACAAATATGTGCCACGTGCTTCCCCACTAGAAATGTACCTGTGTTTTAGCATGCTAGTAAACTTCACCAACCGCACGAAAGCATGTCGCTGAATATGTGACATCATTACCTAGAGATGGCCTGTGAAGGCGATCGCACATTGGTGGGAGCAGCAAAACTGAACCAAATCTCACGGATGGTCAGTTTCATGCTGCTGGAGTCGGGCGGCGGAGGCATGAGCGGAAGGTCTTTCTTTAGGTCGTCTGACTCAACCCCTTCATCCTGCACATTAAGTTATTGCACATCATCAAGTAAATCTCATATGACTCATTTTGGTGGAGTTAGTGTGCATGTCAGAGTCAAATCAAAGGCATTTTGACACAATCGGCCGGCAAACAATTCACTGCATAAAGGCTGTAGAAGAGCAAATCAACATTTAACTCGAAGGTTTAGGCATCCAAATTATGAGTCGTATTTCTGTTATCATATGTATTGTATAGGATTTATAAATCCTCACATTAGATCATTATTATTATTTACTTTGGAGCAGGGGCTATGTTCGACTGCATTTGCCACCAACAATTTTGTACAACGGCATGTGTCATAAGAATAACTACTGACAGATTTCTCTTTCTTATGCCTGCTTTACTCAGTCATCACCCACCATAGGAACTCACTCATCAGCCACCATAGGACTTCTACGCCTTGTTTGCAAAGCACATCAAGACATCCACTTTGGGTTATATTCCCTCGTTCAAACGTAAGCCTTTTTTTTTTTTTTAACGTGCCTGGGCTTGTGCACTTTTCACCTACGCGCACGCTCAAATCCAGATTTCTGACACACCCACCTTGCATTAACAGCAACCAAAGAGGCATGATTCTCTGAAGTCTGAAGCTGGCTGTCAATCATGAAGCATGGGTTTTTCCTGAGACTTGTGAACGCTTCGTAAATCCATTTGAAAAATTACCTCATAAAGCAGATGTGCCATCGCTATTCAGAACATGCACTCTTCTCTGTCTACCACGCTTCACTTTGGACTTGAAGTAGAGCATGTTTCTTATAAAAATGAATCCCATAAAAGTAATTTAATCAGAATAGGATCTTTTTGACTTGAAGCATGTATGGAGGTCGATCAGGAAAATAAGTTGTGCCTGCCGCTGTACAGATCAGCGGTGCCACAGACTGAGCGAGTCATTTTAACATACGGGCTTCATATTTTGAAGACCGGCATAGAAACAAATGAATAAATATCTGATTCACCATTGCGCCATGACTTTCCTGTAGTTATTGTATCACAACTAAAACACATTAATATCCAACACACAATGCATTCATTTGAGCAGCTGAGGAAAATATCTTTTATTCAGTCTCTCTACATTTTCTAGCGTTCCAGATGTCTCTTACAACATACTGAAAGGTGACATATGTTGTAACGATAGGAAGGGATGCATTATGCTTACATTCTGCACTTAGCAAAATGTGTTCACCTTTAAAGGTCGGGACTAATTACAGGTGTTGGGCGGTTGGTGAGCGCTGTCGGCCGGGTATGACCAGTACCATTGGCTTGGCGATCAGTATACAGTTAAATTAATCCAAACCTCAAGCATGTTTCACGCAACAGAACAATGATCTGAAACACACCAGCAAGTCCACCTCTGAAAGGCTACAAATAAAAAATAAATTAAAAAATTAAGGTTTTGGAGTGGCCAAGTCACAGTCCGATTTGAATTCGATTGAGATGCTGCGGTGTGTGACCTTAAACGAGCAGTTCATGCTAGAAAACTCTCCAATATGGCGGAGTTGAAGCAATTCTACAAATAAGAGTGTGCCAAAATTCCTCCACAGGTATGTGAAAGACTCATCCCCAATTCTCGCAAATGCTTGATTTCAGTATTGCTGCCAAGGTTAGTAGTAGGTTCCGGGGGCAAGTACATTTTCACATCGGGTCAGGTAGGTTTGGATTTTTTGTGCCTTATTAAAGACATTTAAAAACTCTTTTCTTTCCCCTTGGGTTGTCTCTGCATATGTGACATTAAAATTGGTTTGATGAACTGAAACCTTTGTGTGTGATAAATATGCTAAGAACACAGAAATCAGGAAGGGGGCAGATACTTTTTCATGGCACAGTATTATTACAAAATCTAAGATTCACAAAACTGTAGCCAACCTCCCTGGATGCGGTCGCAAGAGGAAAATTGAATAAACATGCTGTGAATAAGTGAGAAGTGTAAATATCAGGCCTACCAAGCATTGTGTGAAGAAGTAATCGCCTCTGAAATTTAAGAAGTGGTTGGGCCACCTTCATCTGCAATTCCTAACATGAAGTGTTTCCAACCATTGGTAATTAGTTTTTCACATTGTTGTGGAGCTATTTTGGCCCACTCTTCTTTGCAGAATGTTTTACTTCAGAATCATTGGAGGGTTTTCAAATATCAAAAGTCTTTTAAGGCCATAGCACATTTTAGGTTTGAATTGTGCATGATATTTACAAGGTCTTTGTACTAAAGATAAGATAAAAATAAGAAAACCTTTATTTGTCCCACAATGGAGAAATTTGCAAGGGCGAGGGTTGGGCGGTATTAGGTTGTACGGGATCCCGCGGTGTCTAAAAACATCGGGTCACTTTCAATACGACCTAAAGAAAACACTGCAGTGCCTAAGGACCTAAAATTATATAAAATATTTTTTTACAGCACATATAAATGTGTCGTTGTGTTTGCAACTTAATATAACTATTTAATAACAATAAATATTTGAAAATAGTAGGCTATATGGTTGTTTGTCTATGTGTGCCTTGCGATTGGCTGGCAACCACTTCAGGGTGTACACCAGCTTCTGCCTGATGACAGCTGGGATAGGCTCCCGCACACCCCGACGACCCTTGCGAGGATAAAGCGGATCAGAAAATGCATGGATGGATAGTAGGCTATAATGTTTCAAGTAACTGCACAGGAATGACGTTCTATTTGCCATGTGACAGCCCATGGCCAGTCGTGTGGCCGTCGACGCATAGATATTGATTGATAGAAAATAGGTATTGATCGAGACTTCACTCTGAGGGGCTGCAGTGTTGAAATGTACACATTATAAAATAACAGATGTAGCATGTATCGGAGCTACATGTCTGATGTTTGTAATAAACCAATCTGCATCAAAATTGCAACTGAATACGAGTTGAGAGCGAAGTCAAGAGTGGTTGCCGTGAATTGCAAGAGAACGGCAAGTCCAAATTCGGGATAAATATATCGTTCTATCATCTGATTGGATCTGTGATGGGTTATCTTTATTTTCCGAAAAAGTAACTTGCGGATGGGCAATCAGCCTCAAAATTCTGATCATGTAAAGGCTCGTCGTGTCTTGGAGATATGTAGGAACCACAAGAATTTTGTTCTATTTTGGTGAGAGCATGTCCGAGCTTGGTATAGTACTGTTGTGACATCAATTCCGACCTTAACTTCAAAAGTGAAAAATTCTTCAAAAAAAAAAAAAAAAGCATCAAACTGGTCAAGTTCGCATCACCATAAACTTTGGTGGTCAAGTGGGGGTACACAAAGTTGTTTCATAGCCAGGAGGTTATGGTTGGAGGTTAAGAAATTGTCTATCATATTTATGTCACTCGATGGACAGAAGCTGCAGTAGCAGCAGTTTGACTGCAAAAATCACAGGGATCACTCATCTCTAGAGACAATTATGTTGTGACACATCGGAGAACACTACAAAGGTAATTTCAAATTCACATCCTGCTGACTTACCTGATCATCTGAGTCAGAGTGGCCATTGACATCAGAGGGGGGGCTAAGTGTATCACGTGGTAAGTTGTCATCAGATACATCAGTGCTGTAACCACTCCCAGTCTGAGAACCTGTCGATCCATTGGACTTGGGGATTTCTGCTTTCCCACCAGTATCTGAGCAGCCCATCACGCCAAATGCGTTGTAAAGAATGGCTCCTGATTGACGACCACCTACAGGGTTATATACCAGTGCTTACAGTTACACAGGCAATTAAAAAAAAAAACAGTAATCTCACGCACACACACGCACGCGCGCGCACGCACGCACACAGACACACACACACACACACACACACACACACACACACACACACACACACACACACACACACACACACACACACACACACAAAACCTTGGGGGAGTTCTGGTTCAAGATTTGGTTTACCTTTGACTGTCAGGTTCTCGATGCCACATTCAAACATGATCCAGCCCCATTTCTCAAGAGAAGTGGCAGAACGATTGAGGTCACCAGAGCTGCCATGAATGTCTGTCTCGTCGACTAGAGCAAATTCCTCAGTTTCCTCGAGGCCAAACAGCACTTTGGACTTCTCAATAGGGATGGCTGTGATGGCACAGGTGCCAATATCTATGGATGTAGACAAATGAAAAGCAAACAACAGTTCACAAAAAAAGCATGATAGAACTCATTACATTTAAAACCAAATAACCAACCTGTGGAGTCAAGGCCTCGAAGCTGACTGTGGATACGGTGGATGTTGAGCCTTGCGGCTATTTCTTTGCCTTTCTCAATGCCAGCGTTAGAGCGTAATGAGCCAGATGACTGAGGCTGCATCTTAGTGGCAGAGGCATACTTCTCCAACATAACAGAGGGTCGCCCATGTTCTGTGGTGTTGGGGGTTTCTTCAACAATTCCCCTGGTGGGAAAAAAATGTCTTCCTGTCTTTACAAAGCCAATCAAGTTCAGATAACAGAAAGGTATTAAGTTAACAGTTATTTGTGTTTTGAATGAGTGTGGTAGTGGTACTGTGTAGTGTAGTGAAGTGTACTGCCTCATATTGAGAGACATTTTTACTTTTGTAACTGAGAAAATATATATAACTTCTTTTTTCTTATTTTGATTCATGTCATATTTTAACTGTATCAGTTTGAGATTTCAAAATCCTATCACCATCAAGCGTTGCATAATCAGTGAATTTTAACCTTACCCATCAAAGTATTTCGCCGAAAATCATTTGTACAAAGTATGATGACAATCTGTTATTGACCTGAATCTTTAGTCCCCAGAAGAGGGTGGGGTAAGGACACACACAGACATGGAAGACACCGAGCGACACAAGAAACAGGCACACACGCCCACAAACGCTGAATAGTCAAGGCCTCACCTATTCATCCTGAACTGGGTGGCAATCCTGTCAAAGCACAGCGCCACAAGAGACACATGGGTGACACACTTACTGGAGCAGGATGGAAAACCCTCCTCTACAGAAGCCTGAAGGAGACAAAGGTTCACCTAAACGGAAAAAATTAAGAATAATAACACAACAGATGTTAATATAATACAACAAACGTGATCGTGTACATGTTCTTGCTTGACAAACAATAAAAGCTTAGAGTATTTTAATTTTACTATCCAATAAAAACACATGGACACACACGCATCTCTCTCTCTCTCTCTCTCTCTCTCTCTCTCCCCCCCCCTCCCTCCCCGCCGCTCATGTAGCAAACACAATAGAAGAAAGTATGACACAGACAGAGGCAGACGAACGAGAGTTAACAGTGTGACAAGATGCAACGATCAGAGAGTCAACAGTGAGACGAGACACAAGTGATAAATCCACTCGTGCTGTCATTGGTCAACGTCGCGCCAGAAACCAATCACGCGTACAGGCATGTTCAAAACCTCTGGTCATTCGGCATTTTTTTCTGAATACAGTACTTTGAAAAAAAAAAGCGATGTACTGGAGCCACAATAAATGAAGCGCGATATAGCGAGGGATCACTGTATTTTCTTCACTTTGAAATCAATCACCATCATTTACTTACAATATTGCACACATACGGCAGAGGTAAAATAAACTTGACTGAGATTTGTGTTGTTGTTTGCATATGAATGTATTTTGAGCGGTGAAAAATAGCCATCAGTTGTTACCAATGACAGCAGAATGTCAATGCAACACAATACAGTTTAATGGATTCCCACGCTGACCATATGATATTTATCCAGAAAAAAAAAATAATAGTGATGGTCATTACCGCGTGTTTTCACAAGGTGGCACTCACAGCCTACTACTGAAATTTACTGTGTACTTCCACTAGAACGACTTATGAAGTTCAATGGGTTTGCTGGAAAATATGATGTTAACATTTTAAAATGTTTATTTATTTATTTACAGTGTGGGTTAATTTTTATTGGTAACAAACATGAAATCAAATTGATGAATTACTTCACGCTCGTTGCACACACTATTTATTTGGTGGCCACTTGCGTGTGAGTGGACAGAATTTGAATGACGCAAAATTCAGCTCCAGGCACTATGTATTTTGTGAAGCCAATGCTGATTATTTGTTGGTGTCTACCGTGCCTCATAATTAACGCTGTGTAAATCAGTGGTGCCCAACCCCCGGGCCACACAGAAAGAATAAAGAACTTACATTACTTCCGTTTTATTTATTTAGGAATTTGAAAGATGTTTTATTTTGAAAAATTACCAGATTCTCTGCTACATCCGTCTACCGTATGTCACTCTTGATGCAGGTCAAGGCGCGCTTCTCGGTCACGCGATAGGTTACCGCTAAAATGAAACCCAGGAGGTAGCAAAATGAGTAAAAAACTAATGTTTTTGGGAAGGGGAAAAGGCCCAGCCAAGAGACGGAAGAGAAACCTAAGCCTTTCAATAAAAAGAAGGCTACATTTACTAGTCAGTATCGGGAGTCCTACTTAAAATACAGATTTAACTCAACGGGAGATTCCCACGCACCAAGCCCACTCTGCATAATATGCGGCGATAAGTAGTATTTTTCATGCACTTTTACATTTGTGGTGCATCTTCTATTGAAGGTACGTTTAAATGTTACCATCGCGACCAGAGAGCGTTGCGTTCAGAAAAGACGTTCCCCGTGTCATGATTCGTGTTTAGCATTATGTTACAAAAATACCACAGTTTTCATGCAGGTCATAAAATATTATTTTGTTGTATTTATCAGAGATGAAAGTGGACTTTTCTGAAAATTCCAGAAAAATAAA